TGTATTATATACTTGAAAATTGCTAAGAGTAAATCTTAAGTTTTTTTTTTTTAATTTATTAAAGGGGTTGGGGGAGGGGCAGAAGGCAAGAAAACCTCAAGCCGACTCCCCACTGAGTGCAGAGCCCAATAGGGCTCGACCCCAGGACCCTGAGATCATGACCTGAGCCAAAAATCAAGAGTCAAGACTGAATCACCCAGGCTCCCCTAAATCTTAAATCTTAAAAGTTCTGACCGTGGGATTGAGGGTAAGGAATGGTAACTACGTGAGGTGACAGATGCGTTAACTACCCTTTCTGTGGTAAGCATTTAGAAATAGATATGCTCCAGTCACCATGTAGTACACCTGAAACTAATGTAACATTGTGTGTCAACTATACTTCAATAAAGTATCTATGCCATTACAAAACATTAAAATATATATATGTGCATTTATCAAATCACATTGTATACCTTAAGCTTACACAATGTTATAGGTCAATTTTTTCTAAATAAAAAGTTGGAAAAATATCAAAAGGATGAGATCAGTTTCTGGTTTGTTGAGGTTTAGCGTCTTTTACAGAGCTTGATTATAGCTGCTTTTTGAAGACAGCTAAGCATCAGAATATTGGGGATATTCTAACATGAAAGGGCTCCCATCCCCCAAGAGAAATGTGTAAGGAACCAAAGTGGATAAAGGTAAGAGGACCAGAGGCAACACTCTGAGGAAATGAAAATCAGAACAGGAAACCTGGAAAGCAAACTGGGGTAACAACTGGCCAGAGAAGAGGAAAATCAGAAGGCAAGGAGTGTCATGGTAACTAAAGGAAAGGGAAATGCAGACAAGAGGGGGTGGTCAGCAGTGTTACATATAAGATCTAATGATTAGAAAGCCACTTACAGTCAGGAGGGTAAACATCTGCAATAGCAATAAAGAACCAAGTAGGTCATACTCCGAAGAGGACAGATGCTGAAGGGAATGAGATAAAGGACAGGAGCAAGGGGCAAAGGATACATTAGCTTCCCGTGGACAGGATGTGCATCCTAGGGAAGCAGCAGCCCTGGGCCATCTAAGAGGTCCTGCATCCAAAAGGCGACTCCAGCAAAGGAATGGGCTCATGGAAGGCCAGGGCAGAAGACCAAAGGAGACCTCACCAGTGACAAGGGAACTGTAGGGGAGACTGGGCAGCAGGGGGCACAAAAACGCCATAGGAGAAAAGAATCAGCCTTTGTTAATCTTCTATACCTGTAAGAGGCAAAATGGTCCCCCAAAGACATCCATGCCCTAATCTCTGGTCCTATAAAGGAGTTACATTACATGTTAAAAGGGGACTTTGCGACATTATGTTGGGTTATCTGGGTGAGCGTAATCTCATACATGAGCCCTTAAAAGCAGAGAACTTTCTATAGATCAGACAAGAGATGCCAGAGGAGGCGGCTTAGAGATTCGTAACAGGAGATGGATTTCATGTAACTAAGAGGTAGCGGCCCATACAAACGATAGGAAAGAGGCCTCTGGAGCTAAGGCAGCCCCCAAATCACAGCCAGGACCTCAGTCCTACAACAGCGAGGAACTAGATTCTGTCACCATGAACTTGGAAGAGGTTCTTCGCAAAAGCATCCAGTAAGAGCCCAATCAGACACTGATTTTAGCCTTATGAAATTCTCCAAATGGGAGAAAGAGCCCTTAAGTAGTGTTAAGTATTCATCATTGCTTAAAAAAACAAAACTCCACCCAACCTCGACCCAAAAACCCACTGAAACTATTACCCAGAGACCAAGTAAATCCATCTCTAAAATAAAAGTGAAAGGATTACAAATATTCAAGTATTATACTCTACCTCTCATTAATCAAGTCTGCACACTGAAGACTATTAGAAAAAGGTTCTGTAAAAAGTTTTTACTTTACATAGAAATTACTTCAATACCTTTGATAAAGTTAAATAAGGTTTTAAAAATTGCAATGTCAAAACTAAGAATTTAGATGCAAATTTTAAATGGTAGGAAACCCCTGTAGTTACAAATGCCAATACGTTAAGATTGCAGATTCAGCGTGGCTTCTTCAAAAGAACAGAAGTACGAGGGACGGGTGCCTAGGTTAAGCGACCTGTTAACCGACCTAGGTTAAGCAATCGGTTAAGCGACCAACTCTTGATTTCCCCCGAGGTCATGATCTCAGGGTCGCAGGATGAAGCCCCACATTGTGGGGCTCCGCACTCAGCAGGGAGTCTGCTCAAGATTCTCCCCCTCCATCCTCTGCCCCTCCCTTGCTCTCTCGCTCTCTCACTAAATGTTAAAAATTTTAAAAAGTGCTAGATAGGTAGGTACAAATAAAAAAAAAATAAATAAACTCAACATTTCATCTCTACAGACATAGGAACAGCATTAAACTTGTCAAAAATGCAGTACCGTGTAAAACCTGACAAATATCAATCATCTACATTTAGTGAAGGGAAAAGACCCTTCTCAGCTCCAGAACCATCAGTGGATTTTCCCCTAGAATTATTGTCATATAGTCAAACAATCAGAAAGGGAAAAACAACCTAGTTTTTGGTTTTTTTTTTTTTTTTTTAAACAAGACCTTAGTTCTCACAAACTCACTTATTAGCAAAATCAGGCAGCCCTGTCCCATCAACAATTTCATTTTACTGCTGCTGAGTAAAATGAGTTTGATTGCAAAAGATTTTCTGCCAACAGGGATACCCGTTTAAGATTTAACAAGCTATCAGGCCCAGTTATTAAATATGTATTGTGTAAACACTTCAAGGATGTCAATATCCTTCTGCCCTATACATAACTACAAACATTGATAGTCTTACCCTTCTCTGGGTAAGTTACCTTTTTCAGAATAACTGAAAAATCCCTCAAGTAATCACGGTCAGTACAGAATACCGTAAACTATATTCAGTACTCTAGGTAGTTGCGCTTTTAACAGCTTGTGGTGCTAAGATGTGGCCTTGTAAACACGTAACATCAACAGCCTACTCACTTTTACTCAGATGGCACCAGCAGTTATGATCAGAAAGAAAAACTTAACGAAGTAGTCACCAAGGAAGAAAGTACCATTCTAGAATCTCCTAGGTAATTTATGTGAGTGGTTGACATATGGTACACGGAATGAGGAGGTAGCTAAGGGCACTTTATTATCTTGAGTCCTCCAAGGTGGTATTGAAAGAGAACTACCATTATACAAGCCTCATTAACAGAGGCAAAGAGGCCAGCAAAATATAACACAAAAACAAAAGTGCTCACTTTGGCGGCACTTATACTAAAATTGGGGGGAAAAAAAACAAACTTTTTTGTTCAAGGTTGAAATGATATCAACTCATGGAGATGAAAGAGTTAATAAAGAGTTATACATGTGTGGTTAATTAAAACCAAAATGAGCACTTCACCAAGAGCTGACATAATAGGTAATAATGTCCCAAGCCTAGGGTTCATGCAAAACAATACTAATGAAATGTATGCTCAGTGATAAAAAGTTAGGAATCACTAATTAATCCTATGGAGACACAAACTAGGCATTCTCCCTTTCTGGGGCCTTCTAAAACTCCATGTGTAACACTGGACACAAATATTTGATGAAGAAAATAAGGCAGTATAACGGTAAATATCTTGTTGATTCCAGCGGAATAATGAAGAGGCCAGCTATTAACTTTCTCAAATTTCAAACACATTTTACACTCTAAGTGAATGTCCCTAAAAACTAATAAGGCTGTCAAAACCAATAGATGAAATAAAATGGATAAGTCCTGAGTTGAAATATTATACAACTCTTCAGAATGGCATACAAAATCCTCTCATAATCGGCCCCAAACTACCATTCCAGTCTAATTTTTCAAACCTCTCACACGTTCCCCCATGAGCTATTTGTACCTAGCTCTGTCTGGGCTCACTGTCATTTCCCCGTCTTAAGAGAATGCCCTTTCCCTCTTCTTATTCCAACCCTATAAGACCACACCTGCCTCTAAGTCCATCTGCTTTATGAAATTTCCCTAAGCTACTATAATAACCTTTCAATTTTGGCTTCCCCTGAAGCTAACGAGGTATCTCAAAAATTATTTTTTCCTACTCTGAACTTATAAAGAACTTAACCATTAATTACCACCCTCTGGCATTTCTTACTCATTTTTTTCAAATGTTTGTTTTGACTCCTAGGAGATAAGCAACTTGAGAGTAAGAACTATACATGAACTATTTAGATGCAATTAACATTCAGTTTGTGATAAATGATTTTGAACATACTTAACATACTGGGTTGTTGGTGAAATTAGGTTAGCCATGAGCAGAGTCAGGATCACCATTTTTTTTTTTAGAAGCAACGGAATGCGGCTTCTAACACTGTGTCTCCACCAGAAAAGGCACACCCCCAAAATGAGTAAGTTCTAGTCTCCTCAGATATAAATGTTCTAGGACTATATGAACCTGGTTACCCTAAGAAAGAAATCACACAAGAAAAAAGATGAAAACAAAACAAAACAAAAATCAGCACACGTAACATACACAGCACCGTGATCATCATTCTAAAATGCAAACGAACCCCAACAGACAGACCACTTAGATAATCTTTAAGATTCAAAATGTATCATTTGAGGGGCGCCTGGGTGGCTCAGTCATTAAGCATCTGCCTTCGGCTCAGGTCATGGTCCCAGGGTCCTGGGATCGAGTTCCGTATCAGGTTTCCTGCTCAACGGGGAGCCTGCTTCTCCCTCTCCCACTCTCCCTGCTTGTGTTCCCACTCTGTCAAATAAATAAAATCTTTTAATAAAAATTAAAAAATGTATCATTTGCTACTTGAGAGGGTTTTTGTGTATTCTGTATATTAAACACACACACACACAAAACAAAAAACCAGTATGCCTATTTTCCTCTGGTTCTTATTTTTGTAATCCTAAAGCGCTATACTCAATGACATCAGAAATAACCCAATGGAACATGAGTCTTAAATGTTTATGTTCCACTAACATGATTAGAAGCTAACGTTTTTACATAAACTATTTTATGAAAAAAAATAATTCTTACCATCATCTTTTCGAAAAGTTCTAAGACTTCATTCTGTGACAGTGGCTTTGGAATGTTTTCCATCACCTCCGAAGAGCAATCATTGCTTGCAAACGCAGTCTTCAGGTTGGAAAGTGGAGGTCTCTCTTTCTTGCTCCCTGGAATTCTTATGCTGGCAAATTTGTCCAGCTACAAAGGTAAAGCAGCACATACATTAATATTTCCTCCAGCATTTATCTGATTGCCAAAATAAAAAAACCCCACAGGATCGATCACATTATCACTGTGACTGCATCAAAAGGCATTCAGCACTAGAATCTAAGATTTTTTTAAAACACAGAAGTTTTCCATAACCATCCTGTCTAAAGACAGAAGAGAAATCGAACAACTTCCAAAGATTCCTTCTAATCTTAAATTATAGAATTAAGATTCTAATGGCAGGTGACCTTTGCTCTACAGATTAGCCAACTAAGCAGTTTTACAAAGGTAACTGGGCTAATTTAGAGGTTGGCAATCAAACTAATACTTAGTGTCCTAGCTCCCAGCCCCCTTGTCCAGTGCCCTTTTCATAGAATTCCTAAATCATATTTCATAGTATGCATGCACTAAGAGTTGAATTCTACTTATATCTCCAGAGCTTGTTGGTCTGATAAATACCACATTTCTCTTCATTCAGGCTGGTCTGTATTTGAATTTCATGAGCAGCTATAGAGTAGGATGGTTAAGCCTCAGGAAATAAAGCTGGGGTTTTCGCTATAATGGGATTTCTATTAAGTCAAATTGTTCACTGATATTTTAAAGTATATAGATAATAGTTTATAAAGCTAATTGTTTATTCATTGAAAATTGCTTGATTTCACAAATTCTATTCCTCACATAAAACCCAGACTCAACGTTTCAAGTGGTAACAATCAAAAAAGGCAAAAAATGTCTTCGAGTAGTTAATAGAAGTGTACTCAAAAACCACAATGGTTCTGTGAATTGTTCGGCATAACTGTATCTTACGCTGTTTTTGCCATAACGTATATATTGACTTGTGCTACTCATGGCAACCACTAGCCATGTGGGGTTGCTTAATTTAAGAGTTCAGTTTCTTAGTTGCAATAGCCACATGCGGCTAGTAGCTCCCATCCTGGTAAAAGCACATAGAGAACATTTCTATCATCACAGCAAATTCTACTGGATAGAGCTAGTATAGTCCAGGAGAGAAATGTGATACAAATACTGAATTTAAAGAGGACAAGAAGTCACAGTATTATTTCACTAAAGAAATAGAATTTCTTTAAGATACAAAGATAATGTTTATCCTTCAAAACAGAATTTTAAATTCACTGTGAATATACAGCCTAGGAAAAATGCCATGTACTACATTCCATGTGATCCATCTAACTGGACCTAATCAGGAAAGTACTAAGAACATGACAGCTTCCAGTAGGATTTATAAAGGAGTCACAAAATACCACCACCGCTCTCACCCTCATAACAGAAACAAGCCAGAAAACCTCCCAAGTTACAGCTGTTTTCAACCCATCAGGGGGATGAGGACATAAGGAAACCTGGAAGGACTACTGGGAAGTGACAAGCTGCTTTGATCCCTGACAAACAGTTACAGACTAAGAAGTTAAACAAGGATAAAAAAAAATATAACCAGCAAAATTTTTAACTACTGACAGCATGGGTTCTGGCAGGAGAGACTCAAATTCCAAGGAGCCCCAGTCCTGAAGCAAGTCTACACCCACCTACTGACACTTTCCCTCAGGCCTTCACCAACTGCATGGGTTAATCCCCCAAAGGCTGGAGGGAGGGCATGATGTCCTGAGGCATGAAGTGTCCCAGGTGGCCTCTCCCCATGCAAAGAGACTACCCTCCCAAACACTCTAAATTAGGAAAAAAAGACGGGAGAGAAGCCCTAAAGACACATTCTGGCCCGTCAGAGAATCAATGATGGCTGCCACTGAAGGCTGGGGTCAGATACCAGGTCGGCGAGATCTCCTGAAGAAACCGAGCCAGAAATGGAACTGAAAACACAAAGAACTCTACATTAACCATGGAAAGGGCATCAGAACTTTAAAGCAGAAAGAGTTATCCCAGTCTTGAAAATGAACAGTTCAGTCTTAAAGCCAAAAGCAGAATGCCAGAATCTCATTCGTGCTAAGCGATCCTGAAGGCCCAGAGGACACTAATCAAACTAAAGCAGCCCCTTTGCCAAGCCCAGCTCAACGAGACATCACACGGACTCAGTCCCCCATTCTAGCAGCCTGAAGAAAGGTACACTCTTTCGTAGAAGTATTATTTCATTTCCACAGTATTCAAATGTCTACCATATAATCAAATACTGCTAGATTCACGAAGGACCTAGGAAGCGTCACCCAGAGCCAAAGAGAAGCAGACCTAGAGATGGCCTGGATGATGGACTTACTGGTCAGATAATCTCAAAGGGTATTTAGAAAAATGCTGAAGAATATAATGAAGAGCAGACACAAAGTAGGACATGGGCAATTTTAGCAACAAAGTCATGGAAATTATTCTTAAAAACACATTAGAAATTTAAATTGTACCAACAAAGAATTCATTAGATGAGCTTCAGAGTAACCTGAACACTGCTGAGAAAAGAACTGGTGAACTTATACCCAGACCAACAAAAAGCACACAAACTGAAACACCACAGAAAAAGGGAAAGAAAAAAGAACAGAGCAACCAAGAGCTGTGATACAACATGAAGCACTGTGATACAAGTGTAACGGAGGACCAGAAAAATAAAATGGTACTGAAGACCTAGGTCAGGAGATAATGGCTGAAATAACAGATTTTTTAGGAATCAATTCATGGCTACCAGAAGCGCAGCCACCGAGGAAGAATACCAAGACAAACAAGCCCACACCTAGGCACCTCACAGTCCAGCTGCTAAAAATCCAAAGTAAACGGCAAACCATAAAAGCACACCCAGACATATGAAGACACGATCTACACAAGATAAAAATGACACAAATAACTCATTTCTCCCCAGAAACTATAGCAAAAGACAGTGGAAGGGCATCTTTAAAGGACTAGAAGAAACAGACTGTCATCGTCGGATTCTATATCCAGTAAAAATATCTTTGGAAAATAGAAGCAGAATGAAACACTTTTAGACAGCCAAAACTTGAGAGAATCGGTCTCCATCAGACCTGTACTACAAAACATGCCAAAAGGAGTTTTTCGGCTGAAAAAAAAAAAAAAAAGATACCAGATAGAATCCCAGATCTATAAAACGAAGAACAGAGATGTTATTCTATCAGATGTTTATAATTTAAAAAAAAAGACTATATTCAACTCAAATTGAATAATAATCAAGTGGGAGAGACAAGCATATAAAGAGGCAATTCCATATGGATAAAAAAAACATAGCAAGAGGTATGGACAATGAATTACAGCAGCAGAGACAAGAACATCCAACTCATCAACATAAATACTCCTTTACTTTAGAAATAAACCAGAAACATACAATTGTCTCCACGTGATTAGAGGTCCCAAAGTGAGTGACCCTATGTACCTCAGTACCCCAATTCTTGATAGTTTTAAAAAATGAGACCAAAAATTTAAGAAATGGGACTGGTTCCTACCTGTCTTCTGAATCACTACTTCATTGCTGTAACTTCTCTACAAAGATCAATTCCTGAGTGTTAAACCTATGCTGACTCCACACACTCCACACACACACACACACACACACACGTAACTTAATATGTTAAACTCATAATGAAGTGAAATTAAGCAAATCATTAATGCAACATCAATATTATAAATGTAAACACATCAATGAATGGGAATAGTAAGCGTAAGCAATTCACAAGCTAATTTGTGAATCTATAACCTAATGGTTCCATCAGTGAGTTATCAAAAAATTTTAATTTTCACCACAAACCAAAACTTTCTAAATAAGATCCTCTCAAAGTCATTGAGCCCCTTCTGTATTTTATGCACTGTGTTAAGAGCTTGAAAGGTAGCATCAGGCTGAATGCATTTAATTTTTTACAATAAGGAAACTGCCTGGCTAAATAATAAAGGACGAGCTCCAAAACACTTTTATATTTAACAATTTCATAGTATTTAACTTCTACAACCACATAAATGAAAAAAATTCCATTATGTTTTTAGAAGTAGAACTGCATTTATATCAATAAACAGCATCATAATTGTACAATAACAATAAAATAGAATGAGCACACCTCCCCCATATGCTTAGCACCTAAACTCTGGGGGAAAGTTGGATTTTATTCAAGTGGAAAACAATTTCACACATTACCACTAGGATAGCTAAAGGCAAGGTAGGAAAAATTAGCACAAGGAGCCATAGGAGAAAAATACATACGATCCTCCTATGCTAGAACAGTAAATTCAATTTGTTGAATACCTCGGGCTTAGAGTAAAAGCATCCCCAGGTACGTGATGCTCTACTGAGCACTACAGGTAGATTCCTATAATCAGGGCACTAGTGACAAAGCTAGATGCAAAATGAACTTTACTATCAAATCATTTTAAACATTCTAAGGTTGTTTTTGCAGGGGGGGGGGGTTGGGAAGGGGTTTGTTTTTGTTTCAAGGGAGGATGCTTGTGACTCCATGCAGAAATGGTGGGGGGGGGAGCGGGGGGTGAAAAACACTCCTAATTTATCTTTCATGGAATTACTCATACAATTTGCTTGAAGCAAGGTACAATGGAACCCAAGAGCAAAAGTTTTAAATGCTTCTGTCCATAAATACACAACAGAAATCCCCGTTACGCAGACTAGAAGTTGGTTATTCTGCATTTGGCAATTTGGGAGGTTTCCCAATTTGTGCATTGCATAGCTACTTTTCATTTTACGTGAATTCTCTTAAAGTTGAGCTAGAAACACAACCCAAGAAGGTGAACCACACCAATGACTTGCCTTTGTTAAAGAATTGGTTAAACACACAGAAGACAGAGAGAATTCTATTTTAATGCTATTTGGAGGTGGTACACCACACTTAATTAATATGGCTTCAGCTGTGTCTGGGTGTACAGAGTTTTATAAATTAATATCACTTATCTTCATGGGAAGTTAAATGAGCACCCTACTGAGTATTATCTCACACTGATAATCAGTAATTACAGTTTAAATAAAATTAATTAAACCAAAAACAGGCTCTAAAAAACTATCTGGATTTTAAGCTGTAGTATAACACTGT